TGCAGTCATCTACATAGATATAATAGCTGAATCCACGGGGAGCTGAGGAGATCAACAAGTAAAAGTAAAGGAAAAAAAAGAGAAGAAGGCTGAGGTCGGAACACTGGGGTACTCCCACAGTTAGTGAACTGAAGATCTGAAGACAGAGAACTAAGGCTGAATGATCAAAGAAGTAGGAGGGTGAATGGGTGAGAGAGAGAGAGAGAGAGAGAGAGAGAGAGAGAGAGAGAGAGAGAGAGAAGGATGAGTGAAGAAAGGGGGAAAGAGGCAGAGAGTAAAGAGGAGGAGAGAAAGAGAAAAAAGAGAGAGTCACAAAGACCCAGGGAAAAGAGAGTTCCCAGGAAGAGAAAATGTTGGTCAGCTGTGTCAAAGGCTACAGAAACATCAACAAAGATGAGGTTTAAGGAAAGCAATTAGGTTTGTCAATTAAGAGAATGTTGTTAACTTTGGACAGAGTGGTATATACTTGTTGAGTATACAGTTACTATTGTCCTTTTCACTTGTGCTTGGCTCTCCATAATCCAGTTTCCTCAACTGTAAAATGAGAACAATGTCATTGATCTCTCAAGGGTTGTTGCAAAGCTCAAATGAAAAAACATTTCTGAAGCATTTTTGTCATAATGCTTGGCACAAAGGTACCTAATAAAAGCTTGTTCCCTTCTCATTCACCTCCCCCATCTAGTCCTTATCAAGTCTTGTCCAGTCTATCCTCACAACATATCTTGCATCTATCTTCTCTTCACTCACAAAGCTACCACTTTAGTCCAGGCCCTCACCACCTCTGGTCTGGAGTACTGCATTAAACTCTTAATTGGCCTGCCTGCATCCAGACTCCTTTCTGATTTGAACTTCACACAGCCACCAAAGTGACATTCCTAAAGCACAGGTCTGACTAGGGCACTCCCCTCCTCAGCAAGTTCCAGTGGCTCCCTATTGCCTTTCGGATCAAAGTTTCTTCTACTTAGCATTTGAAGCCAGTCACTACTTGCTTCCACCCTACTTTTCTAAGCTTACTAACATTACTTACTTTCAGAAAATCTAAGGTCTAACCAAAGTGGGCTTCTTGTTTCTTAAACATGACTTTCAATCTCTTATCTCCAGAGCTTTGCATAGCCTGCCTTCCATGCCAGAATGCCTTCTCTCTTATCAACCACTTCTTAGAACTCAGACATTTCTGTGAGACTTACTCTAAATGTCCCCTCTTACAAGACGTCTTCTCTGCTTGCCTCAGCAGTTTGTGCTTTCCTCTAAACCCCAACTTTTGGGGATTTATTTTGTATCGGGTTAGTATTTATTCCTCTGTATGAATCCTTGACCTCCACTTCCATCCTACATAGCAGAATGTAAAATTCTTGAGGAGGGCTGGGACAGTTTTATTTTTGGTTTGTATCTTCTATGCCTGGCACAGTGTCTGGTATACAGCAGACATTTAATAAATATTCATTCAATTGAGCTGATATGTAAATTTTCTCAAATTTCTTGTAAGGCTACTTTTCTACATCCCTCATTTTATCTGGATTCTCTGCCCTACATCAAGCATAAACATACCTAATCCCTTGCTAATGGTGTCAGACACTGGGAAACTTACTCTGCCAGCACATGTATCTCTGTGACCAATCAGAGCTTTCTTAATTGCTTTATGTCCATGTAACAGGATAGCACGCTCAGAACCCAAGTACAGAGTGAATACTGGGACATAAGTTTTTGCCAGCTATAACAGGAAATATAGAAGGCAGTTTGATCAATTTGATAATAAATTGGATTGACCTTGGTAATCTCATTGGAGAAATTTTCGACTCATAAACAACTCCATCATGATATCTTTGACATTTACACCAAAAAGAGTCCAAGGAAGACATGCACTTTGCCTAGAAAGCAAATGTCAAAAAGCCAAAAGCTGTGGAGTAACAACCAGCAGAATGACTGCTGACCCTAGAGCAGGGTCTTCCTCTTCGTCCTTAACTCTGCCTCTCATAATATCCAGTTTCCTTTAAAATACAGCCCATGGGAAGGATTTCCTGATGTGCAAAGTGAGTTGTGTTTTCTCTTTCTTTACCAAATTATAATGTATCTACTTAGTTACTTATATGATACATTCTTTCATTAGAATCTAAGCTCCTTGAAGGCAGGGTAGGGTGTGTGTGTGTGTGTGTGTGTGTGTGTGTGTGTGTGTGTGTGTGTGTGCGTGTGTGTGTGTGTGTGTGTGTGTGTGTGTGTGTGTGTGTCTTTATACCTCTGGTACTTAGCATAGTACCTGGCATATGGTATGTGATTAATAAATGCTTATTGGATCAAATGGGAGCAACTGCTTTTGCTTTCAATGAAGCATTGGGAGGATTAAGGTTAGGGAAGCAGAAAGGTATTGGTGGAGAAGCCTCAGAGCAAGGCATGTATTATAGTCAGAGGAGTGAGTAAGAGGAGAGGAAGTGAAGGCAATGAGGTTAGATAACTTTGGCCAGCAGTTTGTCTGGGGGAAAGTTGCATCCATAACTTGCAATATATCTCTAAGACTATGTCCTGGTCCCTCTTCTCTCTAAGCTCTTTCATGGTGAACTCATCAGTTCCCATGGGTTTAATTGGCATCTCTATGCTGATGACTTCTGTATCTATATATCTAGACCTAGTTTCTCTCCAGAGCTCCAGTCCTACATTACCAACTGTCTATTGGATATTACAAAGTCTGTGTTCCAGAACCAACTGAAACTCAATGATACAGCCACCTCCTCCTCATTGCTTCTCACTTGGGCCATTGCAATGCCTACTAAGTAATCACTCTATCTTGTACTTGGAGACATTAAGATTTATGGTGATGCTCTCTCAAACAGCCTGACTTCCCAATACCTCAATCTCCTCTAATTCTATGACTTACCCTTGCATTCCACTTCAGCCACACACAAGGTTAGTCATACCCTGGATCTCACCATGACCCACAAATTGAAAGCACTAACATTCCTCTAACAATAACCTCCTATCATACCATTATCCCCTATGTCTTATCCCTCCAAAACCTATCTTTTGTACCCACTGCAACACCTAAAACTCATTACTTTCTCAGACAATTAGCCCTGCTCCTACTCATATTTTGTTGAATACAACTAGAGGAAGTAGTAAAACTAAACAGACTTGGTAAATTAAAACCTTATGTTTCTAACTTCAACTGAGCCTTCACTGTAGTGAAATAATCCTTTTATTCCTCCTTAATTGATTCTCTATCCAATTCCTCTCAGCAGCTAAGCCAAAACCTTCCATTCTCTCCTCAAGTCTCTCACATTTCCCTCTATCCTTTGTCAGCTACAGAAAGTAAAGGATCTTGCCTCTTATTTTACTAAGAAAATTGGTAGACATCTCATTTAGCATGAGCTACCTCTTCTCTTCTTTTGATCTCAAAATTCAAAATGTCATCTCCCTGCTCTGCCCTCCTTACTCTCAGTCTCTGAAAATCAGCCAGCTTTTCTTCTTGTCAAGGTCAAGCTCTATATATGTGCCCTTGACTCCGTCCCTTTCAGTTTTCTCCACAGATTGCAATCTCTGTTCGTCTCTCTCAGCTTCAAGTCTTTCTTCTCCAATTCACCTGCCTCTCAGTGTCTAAAGAGATTTTTACTGAAGTGTAGGTCTGACCATATTACCCCTTTACTCAATATACTTCACTGTTACCCAGGGGATCAAATATAAAGTTATTAGTTGACATTTAAAGCCCTTCACAACCTGGCCCCCTTCAACCTTTTGAGTCTTCTTGTACTTTACTGCTCTAAATTCACTCTGCAATTCATTCTACACTGGCCTACCTGCCATTCCTCATAGTCCCTTTCCTGACATGATGTATTTGAACTAACTGCTTACAGTAGAATTCTCTCCCTCCTTCCCTTTGCCTCCTGGCTTTGCTGGTGTATTTTAAGACTCATTTCAAATCTCACCTTCTGCAAGAGTCCTTTCCCATTGCCAGTTCCTTCTTATCAGCCACCGATAGTACCTTCCCTCTGAAATTACTTTCCATTGATAATCTGTATGTATATATGTAAACCTCTCCCTGTCTCTGCCCCTCTGTCTCTCTCTGTCTGTCTCTCTCTCTCTCTGTTCCTCCCTTCCTCCTTCCTCCTTCTCTTCCCTCCCTCCCTCATTATTTTCCTGTCTCTCCTATTTGATGTGAGCTCTTTGAGCTTAATTGAAGCTTTTGATCAATTGATTGAACTCTCCCCCTCAGTAGCTATCCCAGCATCATAGGATCATAGGTTTAAAGCTGAAAGGACCTTAGAAATCATTTAATACAGATCTACTTTTAGATATTCAATTCAAATCAGTAAATATTTCTTAAGTTCATATTATGTACCAAGTGCAATGTTGGGCACTAGCTTTCTTTAGATAGTGGTCTCTGGAGGTAAACAAAGGCTCTGGAAAGATGAAGACATGTAGAGGAACTGATACCTTGATCACATCCTTTCTCAGCTTCCTTCTCAAGAGACTTCAAGGAATTTCCTCTTGGATGAGACTGTGGACTCTCTAGCTCAGTTGAGCTGAAATCTCTTGCCCAGTGGGAGAACGAATTCACTCTCTATTCTGATGTTCTGGGATATTCTTATCTTATTCTCAAATTTCTGTTTACTTTTGGATTGGATAAATGGGTTGTTTGCTACTTACTCTGTGTGTTGGCCTTTGTGTAACTGGTATTTGGTGAAAAGTAAGTGAAGACTTTGGATATAGGTTGGGGCACTCATTCTCTGTCATGTAATATCAATCAGGAGAACAGTTTGAATCTAAAGTTTCCTTAGACTAAAAATACTTCAGCGAGTAGATGGGTATAATTCTACCTTAGAACCTGCTCTCTGAAGAAAGCAGAACAGCTAGCCTTGTGGTACCAATCTGTCTGCCTGGCAAGAATCAAATTCTCTCTGGGAGAAGGATAGGTAAGGGTTAGTCTAAAAGTATGTATTTATGTCTCCCTGTAAGCCACATTTAAACAAATTATGTGGACACACACAACCTACAAACAGATACTTCCCAGGCAAAAGGATTTATTGATATTCTTAGTATCTAAGTGCAGCATATTTTCAATAATTGGAAGAGGAGTAGGCCCACGTGTGAACTTTCCTTTCACATAACCCCATCTCCATACTGAAATGAGAAGCAGACAGAGTACCAGGCCAAGAGCAGATGGCTCCATGGGAATTTTTCCTTACTGCTACAACACTGGAGAGTTTAGAATCCAAAGCTTATGAGAAACACACAGGAGCTCAGCAAGCAAACAACTCCTTGTTGTCTTGGACAATTCTGGCTTTACTTCCAATGGACTTTGACCTGCTGGTAAAGATAAAAATGTGAGAGAGTCCTTTAATTTATTTTGAATTTTTGATGGAGAGTACAGTGAATAACATGGTAACAAACTGTCTCTGAGAAATGGCCTTTCATTCCCTCATCATTTTTCAATAATAAAGTTATTTATTTGCAACAAATTATTGAAGCAGGGTACTAGCTGCAGGTGGTAGACAACAGAAAGGTGTAAAAAAAAACAACCTCTATTGATATTTTTTGCTTTTATATCTTACCTTCCTCTCCTCCATAGAGAGTCATCCCTTAAAACAAAGACTATAAAGGGGGGGATGGGATGGGAAGAATCCATTCAGCAAAACCAACAGTTCTGGCAACATCTGCAGTGTTCCATACCTGTAGCCTGAACTCTGCAAAGAAGGGAAGGAAAATTTATTTTTCCAGATCTAAGCTTGATCTTTATAATTACACAGTGTTCAGTTTAGGCTTTACGGTCATTGTTCTTTCCCATTTACCCTGTGGTTTCATTATGCATATTGTTTTTCTGGTTCTGCTAACTTCACTTTGCATCTGTTCATGTAACCTCACACTTCTCTGTATTCTTCATAGTTATCATTTATTAAAGGTACTGATAGTTTACTTCACCATGTATCACAACTTATTAGCTATTAGCCAATTACTGATACCTGCTTTGTCTCCATTTCTTTACTACAACAAAAAGCGCTGCTATAAAGATTTTTATGTAGTTGGCATTCTAATAGAAGAATGAATTCTCAGAACTGTCCCCAATGGCTATGGGCCACTATAAAATGTGACATTTATTTTTTATATATGTTTTTAAAAGCAGTCTCCTGATCAGTTTCTATTTAAAATAGATTTCTATTAATAACTTTTGTTTTTATATCACCTATATTTCCCTCCCCCAGAGAACAATCCCTTACAATAATAATTTTTAAGAAGGAGAAGAAGGAAAATATCCACAAAAGTGCTAAACACATGGAAAAATCTGAAATAATATGCAATATTCCGTGCCCATGGATCTTTCCCAAACTCTTGAAAAAAGTGTGGGGGAGGGGCAAGGTTGCTTCTTAAAATTTTGTAATATTCATAGTCTGTTCTGTTTTATATTTGTCCTTTCCATTAATGTTAATGGTCTCTACTTAAATGAATACTTTATTTAAGGAATATTGCCTACACAGTTATACCTAGAGAGGTGAAATGACTTGCCCCAGGGTACACAGGTTCCCAGATTCCAAAGCCAGCTCCACTTTAAACTTCATTGCGTTGCCTTTAAGTTAGCAATCTCATGTTGTTGTTGTTGTTGTTGTGTTGTTGTTGTTTTTATGCCATTGAGAAAAGTACTCTATGGCCATAGAAATGTGTTGTTATAAATCTAAGGCTGTTCTCTTGAGAAAGACACGTGATCAGAGATTTGGAGCTATCTAGAAGGAGCATTAGAAGTCATCACTTACCATTTCCTCTTTAATCAGGACTTCGCCTAAGTCACAGAGCTAAGTGGGCAGGCAGAGATGCAGATGAATATGCTCTGACTCCAGATCCATACAATTTTACCTTATATCAAGGACCAGCCACTCCCTCTTAGCAAAGGGGCAAAGACCCTATGCACTGACTTGTCTACTTCTTTGCCATGCCCTGTTCTCTGATCACTGTCCCTCAGAGTGTGGGATCCACACCAACTTCCCGCTAATTCAGATGCTAAATAGAAGCTACTCTATTCTCCTCCCCAAGACCAGGTTTCACCAGCTCTGCTTTTCTTCTTTTTGTTTCAGTATCTTCACTTCCTTCTCACACATCCGGATTTCTGAACTACTTCCACATCAAGAAATATCGACCAATAGGACCAATCTTGCCTTTGACCTTAATCCTGGGGCTTTAACTGGTCTTCTCCTGAAGTCTATCAGCTAGGTAGTAGAAAAAGAACAGAAGAGAACGAAAGACCACAGAGAAGGGAGGGGAGAAAGATTAGGAGAGTGAAGGGAGGGATGGTGTTCATTCGTTCCAGTCATAGTAGCCCCTGCACTACATTAAACAAACTACCTTCCCAAACATCTAATGGGATTTTCAGGTGGAGAAACCTTGATCTAGTTAATCATGGTGTCATGGAAAGAACTCTGGGGTCTAATTCATGAATCCTCAGACCTTGAAGGGACTTCAAAAGCTACTAGTTATGACCTCCCTGTCAAGCATTCATCTGTCTTCAGCTTGCAAACCTTTGATGATGAAGAGGTCACTATTCCCTTTAATCTTTTTTGGAGAGCTATAATTATTAGGAAGTGTTGGCTGTCCTGCATAGCTTCATGTCACTTTCAAATCTGATAGACATTTTATGCTTTCATCACAGTCGCTAAAAAAAAAAAATTGTTGAACAGTGCAGGACCAAGGAAAGAGCCTTAGGGCCCTCCATTAGAGATCTCCATTCTAGCTGACATCTTCCTATTAATGATTATTCGTAGTGTGTGGTCATTCAAGCTGTCCAGAATCTATTTAACTGCAGTATCACCTAGCCCAAATCTTTCCATCTTGTCCCCAAAGATAACTTAAGGGATTTTGTCAAATATGTGTGTGAGTGTGTATGGGGTGGGGGGGCGACAGTATTCCCCCATCATCATGGAGCCATCTGTTATTATTTTCCTTTTTTAATTTTATTTTATTTCTATTCCAACCTCAGACACCAAAAGCAAACAAGCATTTCCATATACAAGGTAGATCAGGAAAATATGATTGTGTATGGTTACACAAACGTCAATTACATGGGGCTTGCTTTTTAAGATCATAAAATATGTCTTACGTTTAAAACTGTACTGCTTTGTCTTCCCGAACTTCCTTTTGTCATCTTCTGTGCATTTTCTGCTAAATGACTCTTCTTTAGGGTAGAGTAACACTATCACTACAGGCATGCCTCTGGTTTAGTTCATGAAAAGTTTCCCAGGCTTCTATGAAATTGACATTCCTTACAAAACCAACATAGGACATTATATATGTATACTATGAGTTTCTCAGCCATTTCTCTTGATGGGTACTTCCTTTGTTTCCAGTATTTTGGTAAAACAAAAAAAAAAACTATAAATATCTTTGCCCCTTATTCTTCTTCATCATTTCATCTCTTTGGGGTATTGTCCTAGTAGTAAAAGCATATGCATAATTTGATAAATTTTGGGGTATAGTCCCAAATTGCTTTCCACAATGCAAACAATCATTTGACAGTTATGCTAACTGTGTTAGTGTTTGCATGATGAGTTTGGAAACTAGATTGCAAAGGGCTGAGAGTGAATGAAATCATAAGGGGAAACTGTAAAGGGAAGTCATTTCCAAACGAGTCCCCTACACTCCACTGTCTTTGAATAATCCTGATATGTCCTGCCCAGTGCTCACTGCCTTCTTCAAGACCCAGATCAAAACCTAACACTTCCAAAAGGAAGCCTTAGGTTAATCCTCCCCAAATACTACATTTCTTGCTAATTCCAAATACCTTAATCACTTCAATCTTCAATTTATAATCTATTTCAGTTTTCCTTACAAATTCCTGATAATTATTCTCTTGTCCTTACATGTGCTTCCTTCTTTCTGTTGGGTTAGAAATTCCATTAGGATTAGGACCCTATCTTCTGATTCTTTTGTCTGCCCCATTAGTGCTCTGACCACACTCTGATTACTATATGATTACTTACTGCTCTATGTTTGTGAATATGAGTGTCAGGGTCTAATACACAAGCCATTTCACCTACAAGAACTGAGATTCAGACCTCCTGCTCACACTCTACCGGCTCCATTTTCATCAGGAAACAGTTAATGAAGTCCTGAGGATTGCTTGGGTCCAGTGTCCTTTGGTGCTCCTTCACGTCTTCCAAAATAAATTCATGTAGTAAATCAAAAATTTTAATTACTTTGTGATGAGATCCAGGGAGATAATGTATTAGAGATGGAAAAGAATTGACCTACAAAGAAGAATTTTATTTCATACTTTATTGGAAAAAGACAATAATTCTTTACTCTAGTATTTGGATAATGTTCAGAAGAGGGCTCTGTAAGTGTAGGATAAATGCCCTTTGCAAAATAATGACTTTTCTCATCATTTCCTATACAAACCTCCTAAAATATTTTAGTATTCTGCTCCTTGGTTTCCTTAGACTATGTTGGCCTTTACTCTGAATCCTTACTTCCAATAGAAAAGTTCTCATCCTTTCTCATTATGAGGTCTAGAGATTACTGCCACCCTTTTGTCCCTTGTATTTATCTATAAGTTGGTGGTAGCTGTTCATCAGTGGTTGCTAGCAGTAATGGGAAAGATGGACCTCTTCTCCATAATGATTTATCCTCTTCATGAGAACTGGAGAGATTGGCCTAGAAGGGATTTGGAGATGAGGAGGACACTGCTATTCCCAAGGTCTTGGACTCAAGGGCCTGGGCTGTCTCCATCAGGATCACAGGAGAGATAGTGGTCAAGGTAGTGGTTATATTAAAGAGGCCCAAGGATAGAGTCTTGTAGATATTCACACTTAGGAGACTGAACAGCTACTGAGCAAAACATAAGGAAAATCCTTGGACTCCCCAAAATGATCCTGTAGGAAAGCCTTTCACCCCTAGAATTGTTGACCAAAGGTAACAGAACCAATGCTGCAAGCTCTGCTCCCTCTGAAAAGGAATGAAAATACATAAAGTATTCCTGTAAATGTTCCTCACCATGCTGCCTCCTCACAAGATTAGCATGAACTCATTAGCAGAGCTGCACTGCCTCTCATTTCTTCTCTCAGCAGTCTGGACCCTTCAGGGTTTCTAGGAATGACCACATGGCCATGGATATATTGCCACAACGGGATGGTGGTTTTAGACTACAGTAAATTAACTGCACCAACCTCAGTCTGCATAAGCTGCCAGGGATAGAAAGGATATTTCTAAGGTCAGGGGTAACAAAGTAAAGAAACACCAACCTTTGGTTTTTTTTTAACTCCTCCACAAGGTGCTTTGCCACTTCTTGGACTCGTTCTTCAATGCTCTTCCTCCCCATCCCAAAATTCTTCAGGGTCATGAGGGAAAATCAGCAGATTTGCTTCCATTTCTTTCTGTTGCTTAAACCAAGTCCTATAAAAGGGAGGAGGAAGAAGAAAAGGCTTAGACTCCAAAGTTCCTTGTAGCCCATGTCAAAAAGTCCATGCCCAAGGACCCTTCAACCACATCCCTTGTTCTAGGAAAAGAGAAGTGGGGAAGATATCAGTTTACTTTCTCCTCTATCAATATTGTTTCCTGTTCCATCCTAAACATCATTTTCCTTCATCACAGTCACAAATACATCAGGTGGCCCTACACCCATATCTCCTTCCGGGAAATGAAGTGGCCACAAAGAGGGAGAGGACAGGCAATATCTATACACACACACACACACACACACACACACACACACACACACATATATATATATATAATATATAATATATAATATATATATATATATATATATATATATATATATTATATATATATATATCTCCTACAATCATTCAGTGTCCCAATAATATAATATAACATTATATATATATATATATATAGTATGTATATATATAATAATAAATATATGTGTGTGTATATATGTATGTGTGTGTATATATGTGCATATATATATGTGTATATATGTATATATATAATGTATATATATGTACACACATGCATACATATACACACATATATACACATACACACTCACATGTACGTATATATATGTGTATACACACACACACACACACACGGGACACTAAATAATAATAATATAATATTTTATATATATATGTGTGTGTGTGTGTGTGTGCGTGTGTGTGTATGTATGTATGGGACACCAAATGGTTATAGAGTAAGTTAGTTTGTAGCTGTGCTTCATTTGACCCAAGGAGCCTGAAGGATGATAATTTTTTTTCTGGCTAGACTGAAGTTATAGTCTCCCTACTTCACAGAGGGATGAAAGAGTGAGAGTCTCTGTTTCTTGTCTTTTTGTGGATTACTAGGTGGCTCAGACTCATCTTCACGCATTCAAATCCAGCCTCAGGCACATACGATTTTTCACAGTGGGCAAGTCACTTAATCCTGTTTGCCTCTGTTCCTCATCTATAAAATGATCTGGAGAAGGAAATGATAAAGTACTCCAATATCTTTGCCAAGAAAACTCAAACGGGATCACAGAGTGTTGGACTTGACTGAAATAACTGAACAAGAGGCATACTTAGTAAGAACAGAAAGATACATAAGCTAAGTAGCAATCCCTATATTAGATGGCTTTCTTAGCTTTCTTTTTTTTTCCCTAAGGAAAGATGCTATGTGGGCTTGCTATTTAATGAGAAATGATTGCTTAGTCAAAAGAAATTTAACAATTATAAACAGAATTGTAGTTAATTTGAGCCTATGATACCTTTCTCGTACACACATGATATGCACATACTATACTTCAATATGTCACGTCCTTCTTTCCCTGAATACATTATGCCTTCCTACCTTCAAATATCACCCTCTGATTCCAGACGTACAATGAGGACTTCACCTCACTACCCTCATTCTGGGAACTATACTTTTGCCTATGATCTTATTTCCATAGGACCTTTATCAGGATCAAATTCTTCACCCTCTGCTTCAAGATCCCTCATAATGGAACCCTTGAAGAAGAAAGTGACTGATATTGCTTGGAATGGATTTTAATTCATGTTGCTTTCATTAAATACCTTTCTGAGAAAATAGAAGCTAATGCCATGAGCCCCCATAAGATCTGTTGCAAAGTTTAGATCCCCAACCAAGTGTTTCTACTCTCTCTTTCATTGATACCGATCTCAAAAATTGCATTCACTAACACATACTCTTGATCTCATAACACGACTACTCTGCTGCTGAAGTAGCTCCTCCCCTACCTCAGAATCCCCTCAAAAATAAAAAAAAAAGAAAGAAAAGAAACTCCCCTTCAATGCAGGTGAAGAGTTGAAGAAAGGGCTTGGCAAAATGCTGCTTGGGAAATTTTAACCTTTTCCCATTGTTCTGAATCTGATTTCACTGAATCATAGTCTGTTGTAGTCAAAGGATCTTAGATATTGTCCAGTCCTCTCCTTTCATTTTATACATGAAGAATCTGGGAAAGAGTAAGTGACTCACCTAAAGTCAAGAATGGTTGAGTCTCAAACTAAGCATAGGAATCAGGAATCCTGACCAAAATCCTGGATTCTTTCCACTCCAGACAATGAAATGAAATTAAAATAATAGGAGAAACACCACCATTAATGCTACCGTAGACACATCAAACTGATTACTTCCAACCTTGAATTCATTGTCTTCCTCACCCAAACCTTTCTTTCTTCTGTCCTTCCCTATTTCTGTTGAGGGAACTACCACCGTTTCAGTCACTCAGGTTCACAACCTCAGTGGGATCCTTCATTCTTAACTCTTCCCTCACCCTCACACCTAATTAGCTGTGAAATCATTTCCTACTCTACATAAGCTTTCTTTCATTCTTTTGGGGGTTTTTTGTGAGGTAATCAGGATTCAGAGACCTGCCCAGGGTCACACACCTAGTAAGTGTCAAGTGTCTCAGGCAAGAATAGAACTCAGGTCCTTCTAACTCCAGAGCCATGGCTCTATCCGCTGTGCCACCTAGCTGCCCCTACATCAGCTTTCACAACTGTTCCCTTCTCTTCATCCATGTGCTCTAGTGCATGCCTCCATCACTGTTTTCCCTGGAATGGTGCAGTATTCCTGTCTCCAGTCTTCTCTGTCCATTTCATTCTCCACATAGGCAGAGAGTGATTGGACTGACCAGCCACAGTCAGACACACTGTACCTTGACCCTGACATAGTGATATCTCACTGGTCCTTTTCAAGCACAAAAGACAACAACCAAAGTGATTTTCCTAAAATGATAAGCTGAACATATCATTCTCCTATTCAACAAACTCTGGTTCAATATTACTTTCAGAATCAAATACACATAAACTCCTCTGCTAGGTTTTTAAATGCGTTCACAACCTAGCCCCAACCTAGCCTTTCAACCTTACTGTACATTATTCCCCTCAAAGCACACCATGCTGAATGGGGCTTTTAGCTGTTCCTCATACATGGTGCTCCTCCCTAGTATTGTACCCCAGCCTTGCCTCAGTCTCCTAGAATCCTCAGCTCAGCTCAAGTGCCACCTTGTAAAATCAGTCCTTAGGTGATCTCCATATCTGCTTGTGTCCTCACTTTACATCCATTGTGTGTGTGTGTGTGTGTGTGTGTGTGTGTGTGCTATTTATGCATAAGGCTACATAAATAAATATATATATATATCCATATTCATATATATGTAAATGTA